AGCGTTAAGGAGGGGGAAGCAGGGGAAGAAGGAGACTTACAGCATAATCATTTGTATGTGAATTAAGACAGATCCACAAAACAACACTGTGCAAAGATAGAGACATGTCCCATTTCTATATCAGACGTATTGGAGTGGGTGCCTCAGGAAGGAAGATCGGAGATGAGGCATGGAGGGGAAGATACAAAACTAGAAGCTGAGAATCTGAGAAGATTGAGAGGCATCAGCACGTATCCATAGTTAGCAGCAGGGACCCCAGAGCCTGGGCTGGAATCTCAGTTGTGCCCCTTACCCGCCCTGTTTTCTTGGGCAGGTAGCTTAACCTCTGTTTACGCTTCCCCATCCATAAAATGGGTCTGGTAGCTGATCTCCGCAGATGGGCCCGAACAATGCTGCTTCTCCCTGTGTGTGCAAACAGCACCTCCCACCAGAGGCAGGTCCTGGGACAGCTCTGACCCACAGGATGAAAGGAAGTGACACTCAGGCACTTCCAAGCACTCGCATTAATTAGGACAGATGCCTCTCTTCTCTGGGAGCCTTGAGCAGCCATGGAAAGAGAGGGAGCCTTGAAAGTGAGATGTCATGTGGAGAGATGAGCCACAGGAGGACACCGGGGCCATCGGACTGAGACGCCCCAGGGCGACCAGAACGGGCGCTGCCCGTGGACTCCCCAGCTGGGTCCTGGTCAACCCACGGAATAGCAAGATGCAATAAAGCGGGTGTTTCAGATGACTAAATTTGGGGGTGGTGTGTTAGGCAGCAATGGATGACGTCATTGCGATGATTAAAGGAGATAATTTTTTTTAAAGATTTTATTTATTTATCTTTAGAGGGGAAGGGGAGAAGGAGAGAGGGAGAGAAATATTGATGTATGGTTGCCTCTCATGCATACGTCCCCTGCTGGGAACTGGCCTGCAGGGAACTGCTCTGCAACCCAGACATGGGCCCTGACTGGGGATCAAACCGCGATCGTTTGGTTCGCAGGCCCGTGCTCAACTCACTGAGCTACACCAGCCAGGGCTAAAGGAGATAATTTTTAAAGTGCTGAACAGTGCATGGCTCATGAGAAGTATTTGGCACTTTGTATGCATTTGTGAATAAAATAGAACAGGGACCTCTGTAGGTGGATGGTGACAGAAATCGTGTCATGGACTAAAATGTATGACTAACCCAATTCTTTGCATCTGGTTTCCACAACGAAGACAAAAATAAGACCTCTGACAGAGTCCGCACATTCATTTTCTTGATAGAGTAACTATGGCCCAAATAGGCTCAAAAAGAAGAGTTTCTCAAAAGGAAGCAGGCCTCCCCAAGCTGATCACCTTCTATGGTCTTTGTGCTCAGAATTGAGCTCAGTGACTCACGAGTCCCTCGCTTCTGGGAACACACACAATGGACGGACTGTTTTGTTTTCCTCTGCAGCATTAGATGCAGAACGAGTAGTTTTTTGTATTTGTGATGAATTCTCGATTCGTCATAAGCTCCATCCAGCATCAGGAAATGCAAGGGCACCTGGAATCTACACATAACTCAAAGGTCTCAATCAAGTCAGGAATTCCAACCCCCAGAAGTGTCTCTTACAGTTCTTTTTACTCACAAGCATGTGTGTTCAGTAAGTATCGGCTGATTATTTGAAATCAATCCTTCTGCGTTTTGAAAAGGATTTAAAACTATTTGGTTACGGCCCTTCAAGTCATTTATCAAAGTTGTTCATCAAAACCCAAGCTAAGGCAAAATAGCCTAGATATCAGCAACAGTGAGGGGAAGGAAGGGGAGACAAGAGGGGTTATTCATTCATGAACTACTGGGAGCTAGGCCCTGCGAATCTTACCAGGACTATCTGAGGTAGTTATTATCCTCATTTCACAGAGGCAAAAGCTGAGGCTGAAATGGGCATAGGGGTCACTTGTTCACAACCCACAGCTGGGCCGCTGCAGAGCCAGGCTTAAACCCAGGTTGTCTGACTCATGGTGGGTTCTCTCCCATCCTGTTGCCCTGGGGAGCAAAGAGCCAGAATCACTCCAGAGCAGCTAAACTTAAGGAGAGCCAGTATGTGTCAAAGGCAACTCCCAGACACAGAGACTTCTACAAAGCCGAGAAGGGTGGACTGTGGAACGTACCAGCGCCCGTGTTTCTGCAGAACCGACACATTCTGGAGTGGGTCTGCAGCCGCCTGGGGATCGCAGTCAGGAGTGCCGATTTCTCAGACTCCAGTCTCTAGGGGCACCGGTCCCATGCCATCAGCCTGCTGCATCCTCCGTGCGCTCGGCTGGGAGGGATGGCTGGTCCATCCCGGTCCCGACCTCTTGTCCTGAATAATCCTGAACCCTGCCCTCACTTGCTGGCCCACCTCTCATACTATATAAGGCTTCAGAATCACAATGTACACTTATTTCCCAGGACTAGGGTTACAAGCTGTGTGGCTGATATTCAGGTAACTTCTGGGAACACCCCAGATTACGGTGGGAAGGAAGCATATGCCCATTTTCCTTCGAGGCCTCGGGACAGTCATGGGTGTGGGTGGGGCAAAGATACAGTTTCTGTGCGTGCGGTGATGCTCTGTCGGCCGGTGGGAGGTCAGGAAAGGCCGAGATGGCTGCTGGTGGAAGGGCAGGTCGCTGGGCTACCACATCACTCTGTTTTCTCCTTTGGCTCCTCCAAGCCCCCAGATGAGATCCTTTCTCTGAAAATGAAGTGACTGTGGCTGCAGGACAGATGCCCGGGACAACCCGGGGCCCTCAGGGCACGGGAAGGAGACCAGGACCCAAAAGACAAAAGCAAGCAACTTCCAAGTCCTGCGATTTGTTTTTCCCTAATTGGGCTTTACAGCTCACCTGAGCTTCTGCGCAGCTCTCTGGGGAGCTGTAGAAGTTCGGGAACGTTCATGTTCTCTGTTCCCCACATGAGAGCACGCAGAAGCACACATGTGCACACACGGGGCAGGCAGGAGCATGCTGCACTCGTTTCAGCTGTCAGTTTCCCCTCTGGTTTCTCCGTGACACACGTTTGTCTCTACCCACTGTCCTCAGGACAAGTGGTTAGGACAGAATATGGCAAGGAGTGTGGGACAGAGGACTCTGCAAGAAGATGGTAGGGAGGGAAGCAGCGAACCACCAAGATCCTACACCTGCCCCTCCCCAGTCCTTTCCCCGCTTCATTCTAGATCTTTCCAAAAGAAAGAAATGGCGTGCCAAGCATGCCAGTGCAAAACAGACCAGCACGGCTGCTGGTCACCCAGGGAGCACCTTGTGCCAGCGAGCAAAAGGCACCTTTGCTTCCAGGCAGATGCGCTGTTCTTGGTGACAGATGCAGAGCCTTGACTGGAGTCCGCACCTGCCTCCTGCCCCCTTGGCTGGTGCTTGAGCATAAACTAAAGTTCCCTAGTCTCTCCCACCTTGAACAACCACAGGATTAAAAGGCCACGAGGGCCTGAGGTGTCTCCTAAAAACTTTCAGAATCCTGGTTGGGCCCTGGAGCTGGGGGAGTTCAGAGTTTCTCAAAAGGAGGTTCTAAGCTGGTAGCCTGGGAGGGGAGGCACAGATGCCCGTCTTGGCTTGTAGGGGGGCCCGCCCACCACCCCACGTGCAACCTACTCCTCGAATTTGGACTCTGCCTTATTTTCCCAGTCTGGGGGAGCAAAGAAGGGGAAAAGAGGCGTGGCACAGGCCCAGCACTGATGTGCCGACCTTCCCAGCACAGGAGCCGAGGAGAGCCGCCGGGGCCCGGGCTGTGCCTGAGACATTTTGCCTCATCATATTTCATCTCATGAGCCAAGATAGAGGGATTATCCACAGCCAGCCTCAACAGGGAATGGTCCTGGGAATCGTCACTTCCCTAATTCATGGAAGAAGCAGGAGGAGAAGGGGTACGGTCCTCTCTGGAGTGTGCCATTCAGCTGAGAGGTGTCACTGGTGAACCCGGCAGCTCAGGGGCCAAGGCTGGGTGGACCTCATTTATCAACGGTATCACGGGGCTACTATTCACCAGCCACCGAGCTGGACTCTCGGCTCAGGAAATTTAATGTGTGACAGCTGTGTGCAGCCAGTGGCGTCCAGCATTTTAAAAAGGTCAATTAAGAAACGGTTGATGGTGGTGCCGCTAATGATAGCCCCGAGGGGTGAGCAGGGCCGAGTAAACAGCAAAAGGGCTGAGACGTATATTACTGGAATTGAAGTGTCGAAGTGAAGCGTGGTGGGGAGGAAATCTATTGTCACAAGCCATAAAGCACATCCGAGTTTTGCATGGAGAGCCGTACAGCTGTTTCCCTCCCCGGCAGCGGCGCGGGAACGGTCTGTGGGAGGAGGCTCTGCAGACAAAGGCAACACCTGCATCAGCTGGATCAGTCTGCAGACGAAAATCGTTACCCTCCTCACTGCCTGTTCCTTTGCACTTTCTGTTCTCCCAGGTGGGGAGCGTAAGGCAGACGCTGGAGTGGTATTCGGAATGTGGGTCATGTTCTAGAAATCCGTATTTTAAGCATTCCCCAAAGCTGGGCTCTGCCTCCCCCCACCCCCTGCGAGTGGGCGGGCAGGCAGCGGGAGCCAGCGCTCTCCTCAAACCACGCGTCCGCTCCCCGGTTTCAGTGGGCACGCAAACGCAGGCACTGCCCATGCCCTTCACACCCCCACAGATAAATGAGGGACACGAAGCCCTCAGGAAAAGTCTAGTTCAGCCTGTGACAGATAGGCTCATGGTTGGGGGAAGGTCCTGTGTGGGGCTCTGTCCTCTGAAACTGAGACGAAGGGGTCTTAGAGGGCTGAGACAGGCCGCATTTAAACATTTTTTTGGCCACATCTACCTGTCAAGCTGGAAATTCAACAGAGCAATGAGAATGCTAATTGATATGCAAAACAGGTCCAGGGTTCCTAGAAATGTTTAATGATCCTCCGAGTCGCCGAGAATGCAGAATTAAGACACGCGCTGAAGGAGACGGAGTAAAAACATCAACCTCGGTCCTTTTTCCTTTTAAAATCTACTTTGGGAAACTTCACAGGTTTTATAATTAAAAATAAGAGTATTGCAATCAGCGGGGCTGGTCTTTCACACACCGGGTATTTATTATTAGAAAATAGCTTCCATCAGCTGTCAGCACCAAACAGGAGCGTGCTTCTCACCATCTTTATTTGTTCTCTTTAATGAAATTTAAATAAACAGCTCAGTGTGGGGAGAGTTGCCACACCTCTTTTTCCTTTGAAGGCGGAATAATTAAGTAAGGTTTAGTACAAAACACCCCTCAGACACGATGTGTTCTGCAGTCATTACGCTGTCCCCTGAGCACGGGACAGGAGAGAGATGAGAAAGACCACTTCCAAGAACCTGCGGCAGAAAACCAGCAACACAGGAACTCACCCAAACAAAACCCGTCCAAACCAAGAAACCGGTTTTAACATTGGCTTTCGATTTTGATTATCATCTAAGTTTAATATATATATATATTTGAAATAGTAATAAAAAAGGAAGAATTGAATTGCATCCTTAGCAGGAGAACCTTCCTCGCGTGTTAAAGAGGTGTTCAGGAAATTCCACACAGTATCTGCTAAATACACGTGTTTGGCAGCTTAGCAAATATCATATGATTGCAGCATCCATGATTTGAAGTGAAACAGCATTTGCTCTCGTCTGGCAGCGTTCGTTGCTCGGGACGACGCGCTGACACGGCTCTGGATGTTCTTCGACCCACGGGCAGGTTAGGACGGGTTGGGGGTGGCTCAGCGCGCGGCCCCAGTGCAGAAACTTCCAAACCCAAACAACGAATCAATCAACCAACCACACAAGTGTCAGACAATGGTCTCCTTTGAGTTCCTCTTGACAGAATGGAGGCCCAGCAGCGACTGCTGGTTGGAAGGTATGTTGACAGACTTTGGAATGAGGAGAATCACCCTTTGATTGGTCCGACGCCATTCGTTGTACAATCGACAGTGGTACCTAAATGACACCTGCGGGTGGGAGAGGGAAAATAAGGGAAGGTTTCAGGTCAGCAGGCGCCGATACTCAGCCCAAGAAACAGACATGCTGTGGGACTCCGCTCTAAACCACCGGCAGCGAGCAGCACAGTGGGGTGAGGAACCTGGGCGAAGCTGCTCTAGAGGCTGGGCGTTGGGGCATCAGGCACACAGCAAAGGGCACCCGAGTGCGAACACACGGGAACGGCTTGTGGAGAGGCTTCCCTCATTCCTCCTCGTGGTGGGTAAAATCAGGGTGTCAACAGGAAAGAAGGCTTCTTCTGGGTTTTGGATTTATCTGGGGGATAGTGGTGTTTAGGTCCCAGAGCATCTGTGATGAAGGAGTTGGCTGGAAGCCGTGGGCAGAATGGCCCCCCCAGCGGTGGGACTAAGTGATGTGCCTCTTTGGTCCAGGTTTTCTCTCTGTTAAATGGGAGGGATGCTAGGGCTTCATGCATCGCACCCTTCTGCAGGTCAGACACCGCAAAACTCAAAGGACCCCATTCACACCGACTGTGACAGGGAGGGCATCTCTCTTACTGTGTGGTAGACAAGCTGCAAAACTATACTGGCTGGCCCTGATGGGTGAGCCCCAGTGCCTCCAGTCCCAGTATTCTGTGACACCCAGAATTCTGTGGGAAGCTTTGGCACGAGCACCAAGCTCCCCCAATTGGTTCTTTTTGAGCCACAGGGCCTGGTGCCCACCTGAGCATGGCATCAAGTGCCTGCACATCAGTGTACTTGTTTCTCCCTGGCGCTAGAAGCATCTGGAGAGCAGGGCTTGTGTTGTTTTCATCTTTACATGCCCTACACCTATCACAGTGTCTGGCACTGAGAAGTTGCTCAGTAGGGTTTGCTTCGTGAATAAATGAGTGAATAAATATCCTATGCTTTCGAATTGCAACACTGCTTGAGATTTAAGCCTGTCTTATACATGCATGACAGCATGCACAGGGAACCTGTGGTTGATTTTCACACAACTGTGCTTGCTTCTTATGCAAATGTACTTGAACGAGATGATCACACAGGTAGTTTGTTTTGGAGAAGGGTGGCAAAAAGCACTGATGGGCTTCCCAGGAAACTCACACTTGCACCTGTACTTTTGAAGATGTACAAACTGCCTTTAAAACTGGGGACAGGATCCAGTGTGAGTACATCCAGATGACTAGGTTCTGGGAAAGAAGGTGCCCATGGGTTAAGGGTGACAAATTATCCGTGTATGGGCCGTTTAGCCCTCTGGGGTGGGTAGATTGCGTTGGCCCCAGCACAGGACAGAGAGTGGCTGACTGAATGGTTTGAGGTTAGTGTTTGCAGAAGTGAAGAACAGTGCAGGTCCCTGATCAGAAAGGGCTTGTTAGGCTTCATGGCAGGATCATGAAATTCAAGGCCACTCGCTCAAATATCTGAGGCTAGGAGGCAAATGCCACAGGCTGAGTGCCAGACAGATTTGGGTATGAAAATACAAGCTTTTAAACTCACACAGATGTGCTTTTCTCCAAAAGGCCCTGAACATGCCAGAGCAGATCAGGGATTTTTTTTTTTAAGCTTGATTCTCTTTTATCTATTCTGTCCTGTTGCTGCTTTCTACTCATGAATGTAAGGGAGGCAGGTTGGAAAGCCTGCTGTTCAGGGCCAAGGGCAGGGAAGAGGTAGAACACAGACAAGTACTAATGAAGAGCTTTGGCAGTACAAGAAGTCTGAAATCGGGAAATATTACAGGAGAGCTGAATTTCAAATCAAGAGTCCTTTCATTCATGATGTTAAAGAGCCGCACATGCTTGGCATCAGTAAGCAGGGAATTAGCCGTGAGTGCAGGTGGGCAGCTCCTTCTTCTACAGGGTAAGCAGGCCTTGGGCCCCGGGGCCAGGCGCATGGGCCTTGAATCCTCCTCCTCTGTGTAGTTAGTGGCTCTGTGACTTTGGGAGGGCTGCTTGCCATCTCCATATTTGGATTCCCTCATTGTAATATGTGAATAATGATATCTGAGATAATGTATAAAAAGCACTCAGCACATGCAGCATAGGGAATACGGTCAAAACTATTGTAATAATTACACATGGTGTCAGATGAGTACTAGACTCATAGGGTTGATCACTTTATACAGTATACAGGGTGGGGCAAAAGTAGGTTTACAGTTGTGAGTATGCAAAACACAGACTTTATTCTTGTATTATTATGTATTAATTCTTGTAAATTATTTTTCATACAAACAATTATAAACCTGCTTCTGCCCCACCCTGTAAAAACCTCTAATCACTATGTTATACACTTGAAACTAATATTGTATGTCAATTGTAAGTGAAAAACAAAAAATAAAAATAAAAAAGCACTTAGCACTGTGCCTCACACACAGGTTAATTTTCTTGGCCTGTTATTTTTGATGGATTAAGTACAGAAAAGATGGTGATTGTGCGACAGTCCTGCTCAGATGTAGGAAATGGGGGGAGAAAGGCGGTTGGGCATCTGTTTTAATGATGCTCTCAGTGTGGCGCAGGGTCGGCCTGTACCACCTGGGGGTTTGTTAGAGTATCAGGATTTGGGGCTCTGCCCAGGCCTAAGGAATCAGAGCATGCCTCCTAACAAGCTCTCCAGGTGAGTGCACACTCAGTCCCGCCTGAGAGCACTGCTTCCAAGAACACGGGGGTCCACCACTGCGTCCGCCTCCCAGTTCCCCCTCTGGGAAGTACGAAAATCAACCCACTTGTTCAGACAAACAAATGGGATATTATTACGCATTAATCTATGTTAATTGCTATTAACTACCACGGGTGGCAGGCAAATCCAATTAAGTGGAAGACATCACATGCAGATGACTCCATGTGAGGGAAAACAAAGGACGTTGGGCGCGGTGCGGAAGGGACCACTGTGCAACTGCCCTGGGTGAACATGGGCTCCCGTCTCTAAGAGCTCCCTCCCTGCAGTGGAATAGAGTAGAAATAAAAGGAGATTTGATTCAGAGAAATAAAGAGGCAGTGGGAGGAAAATAAACATAAGCCAAAAGAAGCTATAGCAATAGGAGCATTGGGAACTTCAGAAATATACAATTTCTGAAACTTCCGAGGTTTTAAGAGAGAGGAGGAAGAGAGAGCACAGACTGAGCCACTATTGTGATAAAACTGCCCCTCATCTGATGGGTTTCTTGAAGCGCATTCATTTCTTCATCCAAAGGATATTTTATTCACCCCCCATCTTGGGTAAGGTCCGTATGAAGAGTTAAGATCACCAGGCTGGCACAAGGAGAGGTCCCCACCTTCCCGGTCAGCGAGGTGACAGGCTGTTGCTGGACATTTGCTGTAAAGTTGCAGTAGACTTTGGGAAATCTTATTATGCATTTTCATTCTACCTTTTCTCTGCGGAGGGGGCTGTTGTGCGACTGTGAGGTTATCCAGGGGTCCAGAGCTTTGTAAGGAGCGTTTTCAGAGATGGGCCCAGCTCTCTGACTGCGCTGCAGCAGAGGACCACTGCGTGGGTGCACATCGGCAGGAGGGGTGCCTGCACAGGGTCACAGTGAACACCGTCGTGCCGTATGGCCATGGGCTCGTGGGGTGTGTCCAAACCGGTCCCACAGTGAGCCTTTTGGGGACAGTATTTTATTAGAGGTTTTTCCTCTTTATAATGAGAATTTAAATGACTAGCCCACGGGACTGGGAATCAGCTAGAGGTTTCAGAATGTTCTTTCATTTCACTCTGTGATGGATGGAACCCAAGTTTCTGTGCTGGGCACTGGCTGCCCAGTGTTTGGGAGGACTTCCTGCGGTCACCGAACTGTGATGCCTCCATTCCTGCACCTCTAGGGACAACTTCTTAACAGTTAATGTGGACTCAGTTCTCAGCTAGCTCTCTGGTGTCTGTCCATGGACTTCAAACAAACAGTGTGTGATGTGACAGTGATGTTTCTGGGGCACCCCTCTCTGAGCTCTGAGTGGAGATGGCTGAGGCCTTGGCCTCCTGGGTTCCAGATGCTTCTCCTTCCACACAGCAGGTTCCAGAAGACAGGACTCCAGAAGTGCGTGTCAAGGGCAGGCCCCTGTGGCCCTGTGGGTGGCGTGAAACTCCAAAGGCATTTTTAGGTGCATGGTGTGGATGCGTGTCCCTCTTCATCCAGCCCCAGAGGCCCTTCCGGGAAGGCTTCTCTGAGGAGCGGGGCTGGGACTGACACAGTGTTTGTTTATCTAAGACATTTTCACAGCATATTCTCCTTAAACTTGACAGCTTGTTTACAATGGGTTTCTGCTGGAGGGCAGTTTCCAAGTGCCGTCAGTTTCTGAATTACAGCTCTTGCCAGGGCAGCTCGGAACAGCATTTATCTGGGAAGGAGTTCGTCTAGACTCAGTAACCTATTGCTGAGCTGACACCGCAGCACAGTTTTCACACCAGGGCCTGCTGCTCTGCATTTTATAGAGGCCTGGTGGGTGGAGGGAGCTGGGGGAGCGGGGAAGTCCCAGGAGGAAAACCAGGGTGCCTATGCTAGGTGCTCTGATGCACGTTCCCGTGTTATCCCACCTAACCCTCACAATAGCCCATTGATCCAGGGGTAGCAATCATTTCCTCCTTTTTTTTTTGCATAAGAGGAAGGATGATCAGAGAGGTTAAGTACCCTGCTTAATGCTACACAGCTATTAGGATGCCAAATCTTGGGGTCAAACAAAGGCCTTTGGATTCTAAACACATGTGCTTTTTACCAGGCTGCACTGGCCCTTGGAAACATTTCTGGAATGAAGGATATTACCTCTCCTGAAAGAGTCCCACACTCCAGGTACCTGTCCCACCCACACCTCCCTTTCAACTAAAATGGGAGCTCAAACAGGGTCACATCCATTTTTCTCGAGAAATTTTTCTTCCTTCCTTCCATGCTCCTCCCCGCCTTTCTTCCTTGTTGGGTAAGTGGACGCCTTACAAAGCTGATTTTCAAAAAGGCCTTCAATTGGTCTGAAAGCTAGTATTCAAGTCCATACTTTCATTTAAGGAACTCTTCTAAGAAACATGGTAGACAAGTACAACTCTAATCATGGTAAAAATGATTTTCCAAAGTATTTCCCCCTGCACTCTTTCATGTTAGTCTAACAGCACCAGGGGAAGCTGGCAGGATGGATGTCATTACCATTCCCACTGCGCGGATGGGAACACTGAGGCACAGGGCAGTGAAATGACGTTAGGTGGTGCTAGCTAGGCTCTTTAACTTCCTCTTTCTAACTCTCTTCCCATTATAGCGTCCTTGGGATTCTGAGCCAGCTTCATAAGGAATTAGGATACAGTTTGGGAGCACAGACTTTTTAAGGAGACAACAGTGGTTTCATCTGGGGGCTTCATTAGGCTGGGAACAGAATGCTTACATTAATTAGAGGCCTCAGATCATGTCTGAAGCATCGGGACACTCCCTGTTTACCAAAGCTCAAGTCAGGTCCTTCTCGCTGAGCTCGCACGGTGTGCCCCATGCACTGGCTGAGCACTCTGGCTTGAGGGGAGGGAGGCACAGGAGGGAAATGAGCAGGGGGCCGTGGTCGGGGTGGTAGGAGTGGCCACTGGCAGGTGGGCAGGGCTTGGGAGGATGCGTGAGTGCTGACGCTGTGCTATGGGACACGGGAATGGTCCACCTTAGACAGGCAATACATACTGAATAACAATGAAACATGCTCAGCTTAGAAATAAGCAGCACGGAAGAGGAATGCGAGGAACAGGGGGCCCCTTTTCTGAAAATATTCTAGATAGTGACGTTCTTGGCTGCAGGTCCCAGAGGGGCATAAAGGGAGATCAAATGCTGCACTTTGTGGGTGCTGCCAGGTGGTGCCCAGCAGTCAGTTCCTTCATAAGTGAACAGGATGAAAACGACAGAGATGTTTACAAAGTCTTCCTCCTCTACAGCAGGAACGCTTATTGGGAAATGGTTTTTCTTCGGCGGCAGCTTCTGAGCTAGATAATTCGATGTTTTTATGGGCAGCAGGGTCAATATCCCAACACACAGAATAAGCATTAGGTACCAGGCAACCCCACGCCCAACAAAGACTACAGGCCATGGTCAGGGTATAAGAAGAAAGTGACCAGCAGGAGGACTCAGTCTGTGCAGGCAGCGACAGCAGCGGTGGCTGTGTGCATTGCTCATGCTATACTACGATCCCAGCAAAAAATGAGGAACACAGGCAAGAGAAGGAAAATGCCATGCCTTGTAACAGACAGAGCCTAGACTACCAGAGGGGAGAAAAGTCCAGGGTGTGTGTCCCTGACTAGTGGGCTCTCAGAAGTTGGGGCTTTTTCTTTACTTGATCTGCTCTTCCCAGCAGTGCACGTCTGCTCACGTGTCGTGTGTGCACACATACACTCACATGTAGTAACAGACCAAATCACACACTCTCGCCAGCCTGAATCAGCAGGTGAGATGTGATACAGACAAGCTGTGCCAGCTGTGGGGCCGCCAGCTCCAGCTGGCCTGCATCCCTGGGGCTGTGGGCCATACTTACTAGTGTCCAAAAGAGGTAAATAGTGAAGAGTGCGACAGTGAGTGCAATCAGTCCCACGGCTTCGAGCCGACTACTAAAGTGCAGGTGGTCCACGGCGCCCCGCAGGCAGAGCCAGCCTGAGATGGTGGCCAGGGGAGTTATGAACAAGAAGCACACCATGTCTCCAAACAGAGTCCGCTTCTCATGCTGGGGGCCTGGGTTTCTCAGCCACTGCCGAGGAGAAGGAGAGAAAGACAGGACATGGTTAAAACCCTAGGTGGAGGGGAGTCACATGACTCTGAAGTTGTCTTTATCTTCAGAATCTGGAAAAAGGCACTTCTGACTTGTTCTGACATCACAAGGGAGCATTAAGGGCTCATTCTCATGCCTCCACCCCCTGAATAACAGTGATTATGATAATAATATGACAATAGTGATTCTGATAATGATGATGATGATGATGATAATAATGTGTCCTTGCTGCAGATGGCCAGCTGTTCTTGAAAACAGTTCAATGGTTATTATTACAAATCACAGTGAGTCTAAGTGGAAGGTGGAGAGGATGTTATTTTTAGAAGGTAATAGTTGAGGTGCCAGAAGTGTTCTCATGTAGCCAAAGCCTCCCAGTGTCTTGACCCAGGGAATATGGGCGGGAAGGGGTTAACTTGGCAGGCCTGGATTGCTCAATTCCTGCCCATCCCCAAGACAGACAGGTTTGCAAGACTGGCTCCTAGGGGATGAGCTCTGAATCTTTGTAATATTCTGCCTGATGAATGTTTTGTATGCCTGAGGCATTGGGCCACAGGGTACCAGTGTAATCAGATAGCTTCTGCCAACAATGTGATTTATGCTGAACACCTCCTTTTGCCCTGGGGGGCTAGAGTCTGAGTTCTGACCATGAACACCGGATGCCAAGGCTCCGGTGAGCTTCCCTGGTTGATAACGCTTTGTATGTGCTGTCACAATTTGTTGCTGGAAAAATTAAGCACAGAGTAATGTGAGACATTACTGGACGGGGACAGCTGGGAGCTTGTGCCTGGTTTCTCCTAGACTTTGCCCCACGCACCTTTTCCCTCCACTGACTTTAACTGGCATCCTTTTGCTGTAATAAACCATAATCATGAGTGTAAGAGCTTTTCTGAGTCCCCTGAGTCCTTCTAGTGAATCGCTGGGCCTGAGGGTGGTCTTGGGGACCACCTGAGAAACTCACCTGAGACCATGAACTCAGTAATGCCCACCCCCACCCCATGTGTTAGGACCCTGAACCTCCTACTTAGGACTGTCCCAGACATTTTAATTTTGCTACCATCTTGCCTGACCCAACGCCAAATAGGATGGGGAGAATTTTGTGCTTGTTTAAAGACTAGACCTGAGAATTCCCATAGGATGGGGTGGTTGTCCATCCACTGGGGAACTTGCTGAGTATCTGCTGAAATGTTTTGCATAATCTACTCTAGAAAAAAAATTATGCTTACATATTGGCGTCAGTGTATATTTCTACCACGAGGCCTGGTAGCTTCAAATTAGTATTGAAACATGTCCTCAACCAATTTGACACTCTCGTATCGCCATCCCACGTAATAATGAGAGGGGCCATGGAGTCCAGAGGAGTGGGGTCAAACACAGGTAACGGGGAGGGAGTGGGGAGAGAGGCTGGTGGTTCTCTCTTGCATCTTGTCCTACCAACAAAGGGGAGGCCTAGAAGGGCTGGGGGCTGGCCCCCAGATGGGAGCACTATGGGCTGCCGAGCAGACACCCCAAGTGGCCATGGCAACAACTTCCACAAATCCACTGGTGGGAAGCAAAGGACCATGACAGAGAAGACAAGAGAGGGTGGGTCTGACCGGAGAGAGATGGGCATGTCACGCTCAAGGGTGGAAGGAAGAGACAAAAGAGGTGCAAGGACCAGCCAAAGATGCAAGGAGTGAGCAGAAGAGACAGGAGGTAAAAGGCACAAAAGAAAGTTTCCTGGGAGATGCCCATCCTTGGATGTTTGCCTGAGGCAGATAGTAAATGACCCACCATGACACCCTCCCATAATGATCCACCTTAGAAGGGGGCTGAGATGCTGACAGGAGTCGTTTCAGCTCAAAAATGGACCTAAAGAAATATTGAAAAATAGATAATGGGGTGTTGACTTGCCTGTGAATATAAAGTATTATAAAAATTAATATAAATACCAAATTGATCAAGTGCAAATGTGTTGGAATGCGACCTCAGACGTCCCAGCAGCTTCAAAGAAACTTAAAAAAGTCTTCTTAATGAACATTTTCTTGCTTAAACACCAAGTGGAGAGTAGAAATTGGGTATTTTTATCTAAATTTTACAGAGGCCCAGCAAGGTTAACCCATTGCTCCAGGTGATTCAGGGGCCAAACCGAAAAGAGGATCAGGTCTTGCGTATTTTTCATGGTTTTCTAAAATGAACATGGATTGTTCAGATGTCCTATCAGTACATATTGGAAAATTAAAGGTGTAAGTCATTCAGAAATCCAGATTCTTAAACAGTGGTGCCTGGATTGCAGTGACCTGACTCCACCTGCAGTTCAGACTGTCTCCAGGGGCAGCTCTGGAAGCCTGGACTGATTCTGTCATTGGAACATAGTAGGTTCTCAATAACTGTAACAGGCTCACAGACAAGCTGACTACACCGGTCGACTTCCTCTGATTTCTTTTACTTGGGAATTCTGAATACACTTTATTAAAACTAATTTAGTGCTTTACTTATCTATGTGGCCTTTGACATTACCCAGTGAAATAACTCAGGTATGGAAGGAGGTAATTATGAATCACTACTTACCTCTGTCTGATATAAAGTAAATTGGAAAGGCAAATTAGAAATGACAATTGCTCATTCCCAGTTTCTTATTTCCTAATTATTTTTGATCTCCTATATTTCTGAAAAATTTCCATGCCGTTTTATATGTACATGATCACCCATTACCAAGGTTTTATACCTTATTAACACTATGTATGTATTTTTAGCTTAGCTTACTCTTTGCGCTGTTTGCTGCGGGGTTGTATTTGGGTATGAAGTTCTTTAAACAGGTACTATCATGTTAACATCTGGGACCTCTTCAGAACCCCAAGGGTATTTATCTCTTATACAAATGCAGCCCCTGAAACAAGGCCAGTGATAATAATATCTTTTGCTGAGAAAAAAATCACCCTTTGCCATGGTAAGAACCTCTGCTAAAGATCCAAGTAGCCTGATAAAGGACATTTATATAAGCAGAGTTTATGAGAGAAAATATGTGGTTATACCTCAAATTTCCAGCAATAGGGGATGGTCTAAATAAATTGTGGAATTTACTGAAAATAGAATACCATAGAGTAATTTCAAATGATATAAAAATATATTTATATTTACTGACATGCTGTATTGCTGAGCAGGAAAAGAATGCCACTGAACAGAATGTACAGTGTGATCCTGGGATTGTAATCATACATTTACATGCACATTGACACTGACATTGACATAGAGGTAGCTCATTCACACAGACACGGACCAGCACACCCAGCAAAGGTGCAGCTCTTCCTTGCAGCCACTGTGGAAAACAGTATGGAGATGCCTCAAAAATTAAAAATAAAACTACCTTATGATCCAGCAATTCCATTTCTGGGTATGTAACTAAAGAAATCTAAAACACTAATTCAAAAAGATATATGCACTCATATATTCAGTGCAACATTATTTACAATGGCCAAGGTATGGAAGCAACCTAAATGGCCATCAACAGATGAATGGATAAAGAAGAGGCACATTAATACAATGGGATATTATTCAGCCATAAAAAAGAATGAAATTTTGCCACTTGAAACAACATGGGTAGACCTAAAAGGTATTATGCTAAGTGAAATAAGTCAGAAAGAGAAAGATAAATACCATATGATTGCCCATATGTGTGGAATCTAAAAAACAAAATAGAAGCTCATAGAACAAACTGATGGTTCCCAGATGGAAGAGTTTGAAGAAGAAGAGGGGATTAAGAGGTACAAATTACCAGGTGTAAGAACAGTTAGTTATAGGGATGTAAAGGGAACGTGATCACTAATATCGTAGTAACTATATATGGTGTCAAATGGCACTATATTGGGGTGATCACTTCGTAAGTTATATAAATGTAATAACTATATTGTACACCTGAAAATAATATAGTATTGTATTTCAACAGTAATTGTAAAATAGAAAAATAAAACTGAGCAACTACAAATGGCCTTTAATTTTGATCTTGTTGTATGTATTTTTTGTTTTTCTACAATGAACATGGATTCCCTGTATAAATATATATTGTATATTAGTTGTGCATGAAATGCTGCGAGAGAGAGACAGAGAGAGAGAGGCCCAGTGTCTGGGTGTTTAATCTCAGCTACATGAGGCCTGTCCAGAAAGTATCCAGCCATGCCCTACGCAAAAGGGAGGCATTCTTGTAAGATCCAAGATTCAAGACACATTGTCATAGGACAATCATGTCCCTGTCCCCTTCAAAGAAGGCACCTTGAGACCTCACACAGTTCTCCCAGTGTCTCTTCCACTGTTCAAAACACTCTGCAAAATCCTTTGTTGGAATGGTCACCAGCTGCCGTGTTTTATTTTCCTGAATCTCACTGATGGTCTGAAATCTCTTCCCATTCAAGGTGATTTTGGTTTTAGGAAAAGCCAGACGTTGCAGGACATAAAATCTGGGCAATTTGATGTTTTGTTAAAAAACTGTATGAGACGTGGTACATGAGCAGGCATGTTGTTGGGATGAAGACGCCAGTCACCAGCTGCCCATAGCAGCAGCCGTTTTCATCGTATTGCATCTCTCAACTGATGAAGAACATGGAGGCAGGACTCCTTGTTAATTGTTTGGCTTGGAGGGGTGCACTTGTGACAGACAACACCTTCCCAATGAAAAAACACGGTTAATATGGGCTTGATCGTGTTGCAACTTTGCTATACTTTCTTTGGGCATGGAGAACCAGGTGATTTGCATTGGGACAACTGGGCCTTTATTTCTGGATCATAGCTGTAGACCTACAATTCATCTCCAGTTACGACCTTCTTGAGGAGATCTGGCTCATTGGTAGTGGTTTGAGTCAAGTCATTAGCAACTGCAGCATGATGGTCCCTCTGCTCTTGTAGCAGAAGCTTCGGAACAAATTTTGCCACGACATGTTTCATGCCAAGATTTGCTTCATAATCTCAGATACAACAGCTTTTAGAATCAGCTTCTAGTTCTCTCACTG